CCCTCCGCCATGTTCGAGGAGCACAAGGACGTCACCACGGGCATCGTGTGGCGGCACCTCCACGACCCCTATTTCCTCCTCTCGGGCTCCAAAGACAGCACCCTTTACCAGCACATCTTCAAGGACGCCAGCCAGCCCATCGACCGGGCCAACCCCGAGGGGCTGTGCTACAGCCTCTACGGAGACCTGGCCTTCGCCGCCAAGGAGAGCCTCATCTCCTCCGACTCCAACCGCAAGCCCTACATCGGCGACCGGCGCCACCCCATCTTCTTCAAGCGCAAGCTGGACCCCACGGAGCAGTTCGAGTACATCTCGTCCTCCAGCGCCCTCAGCGTGTTCGAGACGGACGTGGAGAGCGGCAGCATGGACTGGTTCGTGCACACGGCCAAGCAGTACGCGCTGGCCGGCCGGCCGCTGGCCGAGCTCTGCGACCACAACGCCAAGGTGGCCAAGGGGCTGGACCGCAACCAGGTGAGCTGCGGGCCCGTGGGGCTGCAGAGGGGTGCCAGTCCGGGGAGGCCTGACAGGGACTCTGCTCAACACAGGTGGCTCAGACGTGGACGATGCTGAGGATTATCTACTCCAGCCTCGGCACCGTGTCGTCCACAAACCTCAACCACAGCATGGGGAAAGGCAGCACTGCCCTCCCACTCATGAACAGGTACCAGGAAAGGGAGCTGCAGGGAGGGATGAGATGAGTGGGATAGCTTCATGAGGGGGGGAGTGGGAACAGCTCCTTGGCTGGGATTATAGAATCACATAATGGAATACTGGAATGGTTTGGTTTGGAAGGGGCCTTAAAGCCCATCTTGTTCCACCCCTGCCATGGGCAGGGACACCTTCCACTGTCCCAGGCTGCTCCAAGCCCTGTCCAGCCTGAACTTGGACACTTCCAGGGATCCAGGGGGAGCCACAGCTTCTCTGGGCAGCCTGTGCCAGGGCTTCACCACCCTCCTAGGGAACAATTTCTGCATAATAACTAACCTGCCCCAGACACAGGGAGCGAGCAGGGACAGCTCTCCCTCAGGCTGTGCTGGTTTGCATGTTGGCATTGTTTGAATGCAGCCATTTCCCATGTTGGTGTGGGAAGTGAGTGCCCAGCCTGGCCTTGAGCTCTGCAGCCTCACCACTGCTCCCTTCTCTCCTTCAACCAAAGTTTGGGCTGTGGTGGGGCAGGGGCTGGGATCAGTTTTACAGTTACTGAATGAATTAATCACAGAATCTCTAATGTTGGAAAAGTCCTCTGAGATCATTCCCCCAGCAGCACTGCCAAAGCCACCACATGACACTGAACATCTCCAGTGGTGGGTAGAGATAAAGAAATTTTCCCAAGATCCAATCTAAACCTCCTCTTTCACAATCTGGGGCCATTTCCTCTTCTCCTGTTCCCTGGGAGCCTGACTCCCCTAGTTCCCCCCTTCTGTCAGGGAGTTGTGGAGGTGAGAAGGTCCCCCCTGACCCTCCTTTTCTCCAGTCCAAGCTCTCCCAGCTTCCTCAGCCCCTCCTGGTGCTCCAGTCCCTTCCCCAGCTCTGTTCCCTTCCCTGGACACACTCCAGCCCCTCAGTGTCTTTCCTGTCATGAGGGCCCCAAAAGTGATGGGGGATGTGAGGTGAGGCCTCAGCAGTGCCAGTGCAGTGGTGGTGACCAAGGGCTGGGGATGGAGGGGGTGTCTCATGGTTGGAGCTGGAACTGCCGGTGTGCAGAGGTTTTCTTCTGGAGCCTTTCCAGGGGAGAGCACAGCCCAGCTCTGCCAGCAGCTCACTGGTGTGGAGAGCCCATTGTGGGCTGATGAAGCAGGAAAACTTGTTTTTCCTCTTCTCAATGACATAAACGTGTGGGGTGAGGACTCCAAATGAGCTGTCAGACCTCACAGGACCGGGTTCCCACAGTGAGTGACAGATCCTCAAATAACACCAAAGGAAACAAGCACTGTCCTTGACCAAGCTGTGCCTCCAGCCGCGTGGCTGTGCTTTGTCTGAGACACGGCAGGCAGCAGCCTGGGGAGCTGGGCTCTGCTCCAGCCCCATCCCCTCCCTTTTCCATCTCGGTGAAGGCCAAGCATGGTGATGCATAACTAACAGCCAGGCACCTTGGAGTGAGGCAGCTCCCATTCACCTGCCTCTGAGGGGAAGGAGATGGAGCCAAGAGCCTGCTCAGCTCTGGAATTCTTCAGAGACCTTTGAAGTGCCTGTGCAGTGCCACCAGGCTTGGAGGAAGGGCTGTGACCGCAGCAGTCACAATGTGTCTTTATTTTTAAGTCACACAGTGGGAACTGGTGACTTCTGCTCACTGTATCTCATGTTTCTCCATTCAAATTGCAACTGGACACTTGTATCCAGGCTGTTTGCTGGCTGAAATGGAAACTTTATACTCCTCTGACTGTTAAATTCGTCTTTTTTCCCCAGCTTTAACCTGAAAGATATCCCTGCTGGGCTGGGCAGCGAGTCCAGACTGGACCGCAGCAAAGGAGAAAGCCGCACGGAAAACATCCTCATGGATTCCTCCTCCACCCTGATCAACAATGAGGGTAACTCTCCTGGGTGGGCACAGTCCAGTCCCACAGTTCCTCCCTCCTCACCCATAGATAGGGCATAAACTGGGCCCTTTATCCCGTGACCTGGGGTGGCTGAACGTGCTGCAGCCCCACGGTGAAGGACACCGAGCCCCAGGGCCCTGCAGAGGGACAGCTTTCCCCCATGACCCGGGTGACAGTGACAGTGGTGGGGAACTGAGCTGTGTGGCTCGGGCACAGCCTGGCACGCTGGGCAGGACACTGGGAGGTGGATCCAGTGGTGTGATGAGCTGATTTCTCTTTCCCTGGGCGTGCAGACAATGAGGAGACGGAGGGCAGCGACGTCCCTGCGGATTATCTGCTGGGAGACGTGGAGGCAGATGAGGATGACCTGTACATGATGGACCACGAGAACCCACACGGTGAGTGCACAGCGGGAGGTGCTGTCTGTCCCAGCTGGGTTTTCTCCTGCTCATTCCTACTCTTCTTGCAGCTGAGGAGCAGGAATACAGCCTTCCCCAGGAAGCCTTCCCGCTGCGCCACGAAATCGTGGACAACCCATCGGCCTTGGACCACCTGCAGGACAAGGCCGACTCCCCCCACGTCAGCGGCAACGAGGCCGAGACGGTGTCGCTGACCCCCGTGGAGTCCTTCTCGCTGATCTCCATTTCCCACTCCCTCTACGAGAACCGCCTGCCCTCCGACTTCTTCAACCCCATCGTGCGGGACACGCTGCTCTTCTACGCCGAGCAGGGCGACGTGCAGATGGCCGTGTCCGTGCTCATCGTGCTGGGAGAGCGCATCCGCAAGGAGATTGATGAGCAGACGCAGGTAGAGCCCCCACGGGCAGGGTCACCACACCTTGCCGGGACCCACAGGGGGTGCATCCCGATGGGATGGGGTCCTGCCTGGGGCTGGGGGACATCCCTTCTCCTCCAGCCCCTGGCAGGCCAGCTCTGAGCCAGGGTGAGCAGCTCCAGGGTTCCGGTGCCTGCCCCACCACCAGTCCTGGCAGGGATTTGGGGTGGGCCCTGTGGAGGTGCCCTGGCCCTGTTGATGCAGGGAAGGATGCTGTTCCCCAGCCTTGCAGAGCCATTCTCCCACTGCAGGGATTGGAGGACCACAGAATGCTTTAGGTTGGAAAAGCCCTCTAACATCATCGAGTCCAACCATCCGCCCAGCACTGCCAAGGCCACCATTGAGCCATGTCCCCAACTGCCACATCAGACAGCTTTTAGATCCTCCCAAGGGAGGGTGACTCCACTGCAATGGGCAGCCTGTGCCAATACTTGACAACCCTTTCCATGAAAAAATTCTCCATAATATCCAAACTAAACCAGCTCTGGCACAGCTTGAGGCCATTTCCCCTTGTCCTGTCCCTGTTCCCTGGGAGCAGAGCCTGACTCCCATCCACCTCCATCCTCCTGTCAGGGATTTGTAGGGTGAGAAGTCCCCATCCCCAAGCCTGCTTTTCTCCAGGCTGAGCCTCCCAGGGGAATCTTGCCTTTGGGATGCAGGGCTGGGGTCCTGAGGGGGTTTCAAGGTGGATGTGGAAGCTCAGCTGTCCGTGGCTGTCCCCAGGAGCACTGGTACACGTCCTACATCGACCTGCTGCAGCGCTTCCAGCTCTGGAACATCTCCAACGAGGTGATCAAGCTGAGCACCTGCCGTGCCATCAACTGCCTCAACCAGGCTTCCACCACCCTGCACGTCAACTGCAGCAACTGCAAGCGGCCCATGAGCAACAGGGGCTGGATCTGCGACAGGTGAGGGGGCCCTGAGGGGCTTTTGGGGACAGGGGCATGGGTGAGTGCCCCTGGTCCCTCTTGCCCCCCTGAGGGCTCTTCCTGCCCACACCCACCCGAATCTCCCCGAGCAGGTGTCGGCAGTGTGCCAGCATGTGTGCCGTGTGTCACCACGTGGTGAAGGGGCTCTTCGTCTGGTGCCAGGGCTGCAGCCACGGCGGCCACCTGCAGCACATCATGAAGTGGCTGGAGACCAGCTCCCACTGCCCCGCTGGCTGTGGCCACCTCTGCGAGTACACCTGAGCCCCACAGGGTACACCTGAGCCCCCCAGGGTGCACCTGAGCCCCCCGCCCGCGTGGAGCTGGCAGCGGGGTGGGGCAGGGGCGGAGCAGGGCAGGCAGCGTGCCCTGCCCGATACCCCTGGCACCGCCCTCCCTGTATTTATTTGTGTAAATAAGGGCTGGGGTGCACCCCCTGCCCGGCCGTTTTTTACTGGATTAAAACAAACCAGCAGTTGAATCGAGCCATGAGTCCTGTCTTTGCTTCGCCGGGATGCAGCGGTCGCTGGGCTGGGCCCCGGCGCCGCTCCGGCGGTGTCCCCGGTGTCCCCCTTATGCCTCGCTTTAAGCCGTGTGGTGGGGCCGGCTTTTGCTGTTCTTTTAAATGATGGTCTTTACCGGGACCCGTAGCGGCGCGCCCAGCCAATGACCGTGTCCGTTTGTTTCGCGGTGCATGCCGGGAGTTGTAGTTCCCGCTGTCTTCGTGCCGGCCCCCATGGCGGCGGCGCGGCTGCTGCCGCTGCTGCTGCTGCCGCTGGGCTGGGTCCGGCCCGGCGCCTGCACCGACCCTCCGGGCGGCGGCTGGTGAGGGCAGGGGCTGCCCCGGGACCGGTCCCCGTGCCGGTCCTGGTGCCGGTACCGAGCGGAGTCTCCCGTTGCAGGCTGGCGGGCACGGTGCCGGAGGAGCCACGCTGCACCGTGGAGCGAGCGGATGCCTCCCTCACCTACCCCCTCTTCCTGCAGCGGTACGGGGCACCCGGCACGGTCCCGGCGCCCGCCGAACTGAGGGGGAACAGCTCCGGTGCACCGGGCGGGCTAACGGGGAGGGGCGGGGGGAACCGGTGGGACAGACCCGGGAGTCCCGGGGGAGAACCGGGGGGAAGGTAGTCGGGACGGATGCCGGTGCCCCGGGGGTGGTTTGGAGCCAATGCCGATGCCCCGGGGTGGGTCGGGGCCGGTCTCGGTGTCCCGGGATGGGTCAGTGCCGGTCCCCGTGCTCCGCCCGTGCGGGACCCCGCTGGATGCCGCCCCCAGGTTCGCCTTCTCCCGGCCACTGATCCTCAGTGGGGTCACGGACAATTCGGTGAGTACCGGGACGGGGCAGAGGATGCCGGGTGGGACGCACCTCCCGGTGCCCCGGGAGCGGCGGCAGCATCCCGGCTCCCTGCGCTCCATCCCCCAGGCCTTCCGAGCCCTCTGCACCCGGGAGAAGCTGCTGGCCGCCTTCGGGCCCTTCCCGGTGCGGCTCAGCACGGCCAACACCTACTCGTACCGCAAAGGTGAGCGCGGGGCCGTGCCCGGCTGCGGGGCTGCCGCTGCCCCCGCTCATCCCTCCGTTCCCCCGCTCATCCCTCCGTTCCCCCGCTCATCCCTCCGTTCCCCGCTCATCCCTCCGTTCCCCCGCTCATCCCTCCGTTCCCCCGCTCATCCCTCCGTTCCCCCGCTCATCCCTCCGTTCCCGCAGTGGATGTGCCGTTCCAGGAGTACGTGCAGCACTTGCTGGAGCCGCAGGACCCGGCCCGCCTGGGCAGTGGTGGGTAGCGCCGTCCCGACCCCCGCAGCCCCCTCCCCTCACCGGGCTCAGCTCCCGTGTCCCCCCAGACACCCTCTACTTCTTCGGGGACAACAACTTCACCGAGTGGGGCCCCCTCTTCCAGCACTATGTGCCCCCTCCCTTCCGCATCCCAGGCACCAGCCCCGCCTACAGCTTTGGGATCGCAGGTGGGTGTGCAATGGGATCGGGATGGGATCGACGGGATCGGGATGGGATCAATGGGATTGGAATGGGATCGATGGGATCGAATCTATGGGATTGGGATGGGATCAGGATGGGATTGGGATGGGATCGATGGGATCAGGATGGGATTGGGATGGGATTGATAGGATTGGTATGGGATCGATGGGATTGGGATGGGATTAGGATGGGATTGGGATAGGATCGATGGGATCAGGATGGGATCGGGCCGGGGCTGGGGGCTCTCCCCAGCACCAATCCCCGCTCCTGCCAGGCTCCGGCTCTGGCGTTCCCTTCCACTGGCACGGCCCTGGTTTCTCCGAGGTGATTTTCGGCAGGAAGGTGAGAACTCAGCCCTAGGGGAAGGATTTGGGGAGAGGCAGAGCAACAAGCCCCTGACAGGTGTCCCTGGGCACGGGGAAGCCCCCCTGGGGCTGAGCCCCGGGGGGCGGGAGGGGATGTGGGAGGGGATGTGCCCCCGGTGTTTTCCAGCGCTGGTTTCTGTACCCGCCGGACCAAGCCCCGCACTTCCACCCCAACGAGACGACGCTGGCCTGGCTCCAGCACATCTACCCCACGCTGCCGCCCGCCCAGCGCCCGCTGGAGTGCACCCTGCGCCCCGGGGAGGTGAGGCCAGGGCTGCAGGGCACCCCAGGAGTCCCGGCCAGAGCCGTGGGACCCACTGGTGTTCCCTGCAGGTCCTGTACTTCCCTGACCGCTGGTGGCACGCCACGCTCAACCTGGACACCAGCGTCTTCATCTCCACCTTCCTGGGCTAGGGCTGGCAGGGACAAGGACATGGCGCCACCATCCCAGCCAGGCCAGGAGCTCCAGCTCCTGCCACCCTCAGGGAAAGGCCACTGCTGTTGGGACCAACTGCCTGGGAAAGTTCTGGTGTTTACTGGTCTTTACCCTTGGATTAAAGCTGTTCTACTGAAGCACGCTCTGTGTTGCTACGTCCCTGGAGCAAACCTGGTCACCGATTCCCAGCCTGGATATCCCCAGAAATGGCTGCCGTGAACCACTCCAGGTCCTTTTCCACGTTTATTGCTGATTTTTTTTCTTTATTCTTTTTATATATATATATATATTCTTTTAATGGACATTGGCAAACTTCCAGAGGGTGCTCAAAAGCCAGGCAGGCCGTCAGCAGACCACAATGCTGGAATCTCAATTGGATGCAAATCTGGTGGTTATTTTTTGTGGGGTTTTTAAGGGATTTCATTAAAAGGAAGAAGAACTTTAACCCAGGTGGTTTTTCTTGGGGAACCACAGTCCCAGTGGGGAAGGGGAGGGGGGAAGCAGCCCCCTTCCAGCCCTGGGGCAGTTGTTTACCAGGAAAAGCCAGAGGGTGCATCAGCATCCCAGTAAGTGGCTGTTTACTGGGAAGAGGACCCAACCCTGGCCAGGCAGGAGGTGGAAGGAGGAGGAGGAAACAACTCTAAACACAGGGAAGGATGGGGCTCCAGGTGCTCCTCCCGGCAAGCCCCCTGTGGCAATCCCTGGAGCGGGATGTGCTCTTTGGGGACTGTGGCTGCCCTGGCTGGGGGGGTGACAGACACGATGGCGAGGCCACTGCCGAGGAGCCAGCATTCCAACCCCCGGGCAGGTCCTGGAGCCGGAGAGGGCAGCCAGGGAGCCGTGGTGCCCGCCCAGCCGCCGCGGCTCCTCGGGAAGGGGACGTGGTGACGTGCCCTCGCCCAGCGCCGGGCCGGGGCAGCCGGGGCAGAGGGGGAACAGCCGGAGAGCGAGTAAGGCAGGGTGCCAGCCCGGAGAGCCAGCCGTGCCAGGGTGCCGCCCCGGCCCCTCAGTAATCCTCCACCCAGCCGTTCTCCGAGATGAACGCGTCTATCACCTCCTTCATGGCGAGGTTGGGGATCAGCTGGTCCTGGGTCAGGGGACTCCGCGTCACCGGGTCGAAATGCCCCACGCGCTGCGGGGAGGAGCGCGGGGGAACCGGTTACTCCACGTGCCCGCGCTCAGCCCCGAGGCGCAGGCGGCGTGAGGCCAGCGCCGCGTGGCATCTGCCCTGGCACCCGGGCACCTGCCCGCAGGAAGAGGGAGAGCCCCTCAGAGGAGCCTCCCAGCAGGATGAGGGCAGGTCAAGGTGTGAGACCCCCGCCAAGAGCCGCCTCCGCTTTGGGCAGGGCCTGGCAGCACCTGCTCCACAGGGAGCTGCCCGGGCAGGTAACTGGGACCAAACCCAAGGAGCCTGTGGAGCCCCGAGTTCAGCAAAAATATGCCTTCCCACCCAGGCAAGGTCCTGGGAAAGCCCCCTGCAGTACCTGGAGATGCTCCTCAATGTCCTTCCTGTCGTAGGTGATCCCGCTGGGCGTGATGCAGGGCTCTCTCATCAGCTCAAAACTGATCTTCCCACACAGGTAGTCAGGGATGTCCCGCTTCTGTCTCGAGAGAGGCACAGCTGGGTCAGGAAAGGGGGCTGGGAGGTGGTGCTGGCTCAGAGCGGGGAGCAGGGTACGCAGAAGGTTTACAGGAGCACAGGCTGGGCCACACTCACCTTCCTCTTCTCGTCCACTTGGGAGAAGAGCTCGTCCATGTCTGCCAGGTATTTGTCCTGAAAGAGAAGCTCTTGAGGACAAGGGGTCCCTGGTGTGCAGGGGCTACAGGACCCCAGGGAGAGCCCCAAAGCCTCCCATCATGGGTGCTGTGGCCGGTCCTTGGTGCCCCCTCTGCCTGTGCAGCTCCTGGCTGAAGCTGGCAGGAGCAATCCAGCTTACAAATAACCTTCCTTTGTGGGCCTATTTTTATCTGGGATTAGTCCCCAGCACCCAGACCCACATGTGGCTGAGAGCCACTTGTGTTTCCTCAGGGAACAACAGGCACAGCAGGCGTCACCGCTGCCAGGCTGGGACAAGAGGTGGCAGAGCAGGGGAAGCCATCATGGGGGGACACAACAGCCCTGCAGTGGTGGCTCGAGCTACAGAATGAAGGCTACGGTCCCAAGGTCTCCCAGCTTTCACCTGCACAGCTGCAGCCCTGCCGCTTCCCTGGCTGCAGCAGAGCCTGAGGACAAGGATGGGGACGAGGATGGGGACGGGGAAGCCCCCAGCCCCCCACTCACGTGTTTGGCCTCGATGCTGGCCAGCTGAACACGGCTCCGGCTCTCGTCTGTGTTTTCCTCCTGCTGAGTCTTTCGGCACTCCGCCAGCTCCCTAGGACAGAGTGGGACATCAGGAGGATGGGGAACACTGGCACTCCCTTCCCTGCTGCAGGGCTCTGCAGAGACACCTCACACAGAGCAGTGACAGCCTGGTGGCACTCAAAAAGCTTCTCCAAGTGCCCTGTTACCTCTCCTTCTCGGCCACGATCAGCTTGGTGAGGTGGGAGTGCAGCTCGTTCTCCTGGTTGATGCGCTTCTCCTCGATGCTGTTCCAGCGCTTCTTCTTGGCGATGCGCAGCGCACTGGGGATGTCATCCCCGAAATTCAGCCGCTGCTCCTTGGCGAGGTTGTAGGCTGAGGAGAGAAAGGGCACCCCAGCGCCAGCGTCCCTGTCGCCCTCCCTGGCCCTTTCCCAGCCGACAGGAGCAGGGGACAGTGGCAGCGTGCCCGCTCACCTCTCTGCAGGTTGGCGATGGCCTCGTCGTAGTTTTCCATCTCCATCTGGCACTGGCCCAGGAAGAAGTGAGCCTTCACGGACTGCCCGTCCAGCTCCAGCGCCCGCTTGCAGTCGGCCAGCGCCTTGTCGTGCTGCTGCATCTTCAGGTAGCACAGGGCCCGGTTGGTGTAGTACACGGCCACCAAGGGGTTCCGGTTCTGCAGGGACAGGCCCATGTCGGTGCCGGCGGCAGGGCCGGGACGTGCTGGTGACAGCCCGGTGACTCGGTGAGCCAGCGGCACGGCGCCGTCACCCAGGGCAGGGAGAGCCAGCAGTGCCAGCCAGGGTGTGCACCCCGTGGGGAGGTGCTGGCATGGATTGGGGACGGGCTGGGGCCGGTCCCCATAGGGCAGCCCATGGCCCAGCCCCCACAGGGGACTGTCCCCCGGACACCTCGACTGTCCCAGGCTGGGTCTGCCCTACCCAGCACAGCCCGGGGACAGTGCGGGGCTTGGGGAAACAGGCTCAGGGGGTGCAGGGCAGGCCAGCTTGGAGTGGGGTGGGGAGAGGATGGGCTGGGGGTGTCCAAGTCCAGAGAGCGGGCCAGGGTCGGGGGGTGCCTAGGCCAGGCCTAGGGGTGGTAGTCCAGGCCCAGGATGGGGGGAAGCAGGCCCAGAGCTGTGTCCAGCCCTCCCCAGGAGGAGCCAGGCTCAGGGAGGGAACAGTGTCCAGATTAAAAGGTCCCATGTCAGGGGTGTCTTGGCCAGGCCCTGAGGAAGAACAGCGCCCAGCCCGAGGAGGTTCCATCCTGGTGATGCCCAGGCCAGGGCCCGGGAGATGTCCAGGCAGGGGGGAGGCAGGATGGATGTCCCATCTTGCGGGAGTCACGGCCCGGTGTGTGGGGGCTGTCCCATCCCTGGGGACCCCACCCAGCGCTGGCCAGGCCAGCTCCGGGCGGGTGTCCAGGCCAGGGGGGAGGTTCCAGCCCGGGGCCATCGAGGCCAGGGGGGAGGTTGGTGTGTCCCGTCCCGGGGTACCCAGGCCGGGGCGTCCCCTCCCCGGAGCTCCCGTGGCGGGGCCGGTCCCGCTGGGGCCGGGGGCGCCGCCGGGACTCACGATGGCGCGGCCGTAGCAGGCGGCGGCCTCGGGGTACTTGCGGCCGCCGAAGAGCCGGTTCCCCTGCTCCTTGTGCTCCTGCGCGCTGTGGCTCTTCTCGGGGCTGCCGCCGCCCGCGCCCCCCGCGCCCGGCCCCGCCGCGCCGGGCCCCGCCGCGCCGCCCTCGCGCTCCTCCTTGCCCTTCATGGCGCGGCCCGGGCCGGCGCTGGGGCCGCGGCTCCGCTGGCTCGGCGGCCCCGGCGGCTCCGCTGGCTCGGCGGCCTCGGCAGCCCCGGCAGCCCCGGCGGCTCCGGCTCCGCCGCGCACTGCGACAGCGCCGCTTCCGGGGCGGGGCGGGGCGGGGCCTCGGCAGGACGGGACGGCGCCCGTGGGCGGGGCTAACGGCAAGGGGCGGGGCTATGCATATGAGGGGCGTGGCCAGCCCGGCGCGATTGGGCGGGCGCCCGCGGTGGGCGGGGCTAAAGACAGATTGGCGGGGGCGTGGTCAGTGCCGGGTGGGCGTGGCCTGGGTGTGGATTATGGGATTGAATAGGGGATGGTGCATGGAGGGCATTGGGGTGTGGTTTGTGGGTTTATGGACTTTAATGGGGTTTGTGGGGTTTGAGGGGTTTGATGGGATTTATGGGGTTTGATGGGGTTTGATGGGATTTGATAGGGTTTGTGGGGTTTATGGGGATTGATGGGGTTTATGGGGTTTGTGGGGTTTATGGGGTTTGATGGGGTTTGATGGGGTTGATGGTGTTTATGGGTTTATGGGGTTTGTGGGGTTTGATAGGGATTGTGGGGTTTATGGGGTTTGTGGGGTCTGTGGGGTTTATGGGGTTTGATGGGGTTGATGGTGTTTATGGGTTTATGGGGTTTATGGGGTTTGTGGGGTTTATGGGGTTTATGGGGTTTGATGGGGTTGATGGTGTTTATGGGGTTTGATGGGAGGGGGGCGTACAGAGTAGTGCAGGATGGATGAGGGGCCTGGCTGGAGGGGATGGGGGTGAAAAGGGGGATGGGGGAGGCGGCACGGAGCTGATGGGGGGTGGGTGTGAGTAGGGGGTTGGGGGTTTGGGGGTGTGAGTGGGGCGGGTCCGGCGCCTGCAGCCAGCGCTGTGTGCGCTGCAGCGGGGGGGGCAGGGGGCGGCGTGGTCTGCAGACCCCCCCTCACCCCCGCGCCCCAGCCCCGCGGGGCCCGGCCCGGCGCCGCTCCACTGATCCCGGAGTTTTCTGCTCCAGTAATTCCCGAGCCCGGCTGAGCCCCCGCCCCGCCGCCCATCGGGGATGGGGGCACCCCAAAACCCCCGCCCCCGACAGAGACACGAGCCCCCGCAGTGTGCAAAATATTTATTTATACTTCAAAAAGGTCTGGGGGGGGTTAGAGCGGGGACCCCCCGCGCCCCCATCCCGAGCCAGGCCCCCGTGCCGGGGGTCAGCAAAGCGGGCCCGGGGCGCGGGGAGGGGGGCTGTGCCTCCGAGGGCACTGCCAAAATGATTGTGCCGGTCTCAGCCGATTCCTGCCGGGCTCTCCCCGTATTCTTTTTATTCTTTTTTTTTATTATTATTATTATTATTCCTCTTTCTTTTATTTATATTTATTTTGGCATAGAAAAATAAATGGCTCCTCTTTTGGCACCAGTCCTTCGTGTGCAAGTGCAGGTCCTGGAAAGGGGGTCCGGGAGCCGGCGGGGGTCCCCGGGCCCGGCTCCTTCCCGAGGGGCGGCGGCGCCGGGGCGGGGCCGGAGCTTCCCCTGGGGCCGGGCACAGCGGGGGCGGCGGGGACACCGGGGCGGGCGGCGCGCTCGCTAGCACCGAGGGGACGGGCGGCGGGGTGGCCTGTCCCCATGTCACGCGCGGGGACCCCCCAGCCCCTCCGCCGGGCTCGGCAAACAAACGAACCGCAGGGTCGGGGCGAGGGGGCGGGCTAGGGCGGGGGGGGGATCTGTGCCCCCAGCAGGTCGTAGGCGAAGATGTTCCAGAAGACGGCGAAGAGCAGGAAGGTGCCGTAGGACAGCAGCAGCACCCACCAGCCGCACTGGTCCTGCAGGCTCTCCTCGTAGCTGCGCAGGATGGTCAGCCCCATGCTGATGCCCACGATGGCCCCCGCCAGGTGCGCCATGAAGCTGGGCTGCGGCCCCGAGGCCGGCAGCGGCGGCGAGAAGCGGAGCCAGACGGCGCGGCCGACCTCGGAGCTCACTGCGGGACGGGCCGGAGCTGCTGAGCCCGCCCGGGGCCGCGCGGCCGGGGCCAGGGACGGGGGCGGTACTCACTGCACACCAGCGCCAGCACCATCCGCAGCAGCTTGTAGGGACAGCGCATCCCGGCCCAGTTCTGCGGGAACGGCAGCGAGGAGGGAGGGAGGGAGGGATGGATGGATGAAGGATGGATGGATGATGGATGGATGGATGATGGATGATGGATGGATGGATGATGGATGGATGGATGGATGATGGATGATGGATGGATGGATGATGGA